GAGGCTGAGATGGGAGGATCACCTGAGCCCAGGGAGATTGAGGCTGCAGTGAGCTCTGATCACACCACTGTGTTCCAGCCCAACAACAGAGTGAGTACCTGTCTCAAATAAAAAAAAAAAAGATAAAAGGAAAAACATAAAAATAAAGTAATATTGGCCGGGTGCAGTGGTTCACACCTGTAATCCCAGCACTTTGGGAGACCAAAACGGGCGGATCACGAGATCAGGAGATTGACACCATCCTGGCTAACACAATGAAACTCCGTGTCTACTAAAAACACACAAAAAATTAGCCGGGCATGGTGGCGGGCATCTGTAGTCCCAGCCACTCAGGAGGCTGAGGCAGGAGAATGGCGTGAACCTGGGAGGCGGAGCTTGCAGTGAGCCCAGATGATGCCACTGCACTCCAGTCTGGGCGACAGAGCGAGACTCCGTCTCTCTAAATAAATAAATAAATAAATAAATAAAGTAGTATTTTAGTTGAGAGGATAGGTCCGTCCCATTTTAGAAGCTACCAGGCAGTGCTCTATTTGAATGTCCTAATGTAACTGGACTCAGGTTTGGCTGCCCAGACACTTGAAAGCCAGACACAAGAGACAAGGGTTGGTGGGAGGAAAAGCAGGTTTAATCAGGGAACCAACAAACTGAGAAGATGGTGAACTAGTGTACTAAAGTACTATCTTAAATTCTAAATTTTACCATAGTGTTTTTAAAGGGAGGCTTGGTATGGGAGGCATGCAGGAGTGGTGAGAATGCAGGGTCTGTGTGTCTTTGTTCTGATGGCTGTCTGGCATAATTGCCTGTCAGGAGGTATGGTTGGTGTTATCTTGACTTCAGACTGATGGTGATGGACTAATTGTTCCAGACTCCCTCTGAGCAGGAGGATTCTGCAGTCTGGGCTCCATGCCTAGTTTGTTTCAAGATTGGCTTCTGGAATCTCTTTCTTTTTTTCCAACTTTTATTTTAGATTCAAGGGTTGCATGTGCAGATTTGGGTAAATTACATGTGACAGGAGTTTGGTGTACAGACAATTTTGTCACCCAGGTAATCAGCACAATACCCAGTAGGTAGTTTTTGAATCCTCACCCTCCTCTCTGGAATTTCTTAAGCAAGAACATAATTACATAAGCATGCATTGCCAGAAGGGAGGGAAAGAAGAAGAAGAAAGTTGGTGATTAAAATATATTTTTAAAACTGAGATCCCTGGTTACACTAAGGTTAGGAAAGTGAATTAATGTGCTTTAGATTGCCCTAGGAAACTGAGGCCTAGGCCCAGGTTTACAGCTGTCCCCTCTTCCTTTCCTCTTCAGAGAGTACACACTCGATGTGTACAGACTCTCCTCCGTAGTCACACAGCACGATTCCAAGAAGGCTGGAGCTGAGGTGGTAAAGCAAGTGGAGCACCCTTTGCTGAGTGGCCTCTTGTACCCCGGACTGCAGGTACTTAAGTGGGATGGAATGGCCCGATGGCCTTTTCTGCTCTGGTTTGATGACAGGCATATCTCATTGCGCTTTGCTTTACTGCACTACACAGATAGTGTGTTTTTTACAAATTGAAGGTGCGTGGCAACCCTGTGTCCGGCAAGTCCACCAGCACCATTTTTCCAACAGCATGTGCTCACTTCGTGTCTCTGTGCCACATTTTAGTAATTCTCACAATATTTCAAGCTTTTTCATTATTATATCTGCATGGTTATATGCGATCTGTGACCTTTGATGTTAATATTGTAATTGTTTTGGGGCACCACAAACTGTGCCCATATGAGACAACGAACTTAAAATATTGTGTGTGTTCTGACTCCTCTGCCATCCAGTCATTTTGCCACTCTCCTGGCCTCCTTATTTCCTGAAACAGGACAATATTGAAATAAGGCTAATCAATAACCCTACAATGGCCTCTAAGTGTTGAAGTGAAAGGGAGAGTCACACATCTCTCACTTTATTTATTTATTTATTTATTTATTTTTGAGACAGAGTCTCGCTCTGTCACACAGGCTGGAGTACAGTGGCGCGATCTTGGCTCACTGCAACCTCTGCCTCCCGGGTTCAAGCAATTCTCTGCCTCAGCTTCCCGAGTAGCTGGGATTACAGGCGCCTGCCACCAGGCCCAGCTGATTTTTCTGTATTTTTAGTAGAGACGGGGTTTCACCGTCTTAGCCAGGCTGGTCTTGAACTCCTGACCTTGTGATCTACCCACCTTGGCCTACCACAGTGCTGGGATTATAGGCTCGAGCTACCGCGCCCAGCCGCACATCGCTCACTTTAAATCTACACCTAGAAATGATTAAGCTTAGTGAGGAAGGAATGTTAAAAGCCGAGGCAGGCGGAAAGCTGGGCCTTTTGCACCAAATAGCCAAGTTGTGACTCCAAAGGGAAAATTCTTGAAGGAAATTCAAAGTGCTACTCCAGTGAACACCTGAAAAATAGGAAGTGAAACAGACATAATTTTCACTTATGCTGATATGGGGAAAATTGTAATAGTCTGGATGGAAGAGCAAACCAGCCACAATATTACCTTAAGCTAAAGCCTACTCCAGAGAAAGGTCTTAATTGTCTTCAGTTTTATGAAGGCTAAGAGAAGTGAGGAAGATGCACAAGAAAAGTTTGAAGCTAGCAGAGATTGGTTCATGATGTTTAAAGGGAAAAAAGCCATCTTCATAATGTCAAAGTGCAAGGTGAAGCGGCAAGCGCTGATGTAGAAGTTGCAGCAAGTTACCCGGAAGATAAGATCATTGATGAAGGTGGCTACACTAAACAATGGATTTTCAAGGTAGATGAAATAGCCTTTTATCGGAAGAAGATGCCATCTAGGACTTTCGTAGCTAGAGAGAACTTGATTCCTGGCTTCAAATCTTCAAAGGACAGGTTGAATCTCTTGTTAGAAGCTAATGCAGCTGATGACTTGAAGTTGAAGCCAATGCTCATTTACATTCCAAAAATCCTAGTGCCTTTAAGAATTAGGCTATATAGGCCAGGCATGGTGGCTCATGCCTATAATCCCAGCACTTTTGGAGGCCGAGGTGAGCAGATCACTTGAGGCCAGGAGTTCAAGACCAGCCTAGCCAACATGGTGAAACCCTGTCTCTACTAAAACTACAAAAAAAAAAAGAAAAGAAAAAGAAAAATTAGGCCAGTCGTGGCGGCTCACACCTGTAACTCAGCACTTTAGGAGGCTGAGGCAGACAAATCACGAGGTCAGGAGTTCGAGACTAGCCTGGCTATCATAGTGAAACTGCGTCTCTATTAAAAATATAAAAATTAGCTGGGTGTGGTGGCACACACCTGTAGTCCCAGCTACTCGGGAGACTGAGGCAGGACAATTGCTCGAACCCGGGAGACAGAGGTCGCAGTGAGCTGAGATCGCGCCATTCACTCCAACCCGGGCAACAATGCAAGACTCCATCTCAAAAAAAAAAAAAAATTAGCCAGGCATTGTGGCACGCGTCTGTAGTCCCAGCTATAGTCGGGAGACTGAGGCAGGAGAATCACTTAAACCCGGGAGGCGGAGGTTGCAGTGAGCCGAGATCACACCACTGCACTCCAGCCTGGGTAACAGAGTGAGACTCCATCTCAAAAAAGAGTTATGCTAAGTCTACTCTGCCTGTGCTCTATAAATGGAACAACAAAGTCTGGATAGTAGCACATCTGTTAACAGTATGATTTACTAAGCATTTTAAGCCCACTTTTGAGACCTGCTCCTCAGAAAGAAAGATTCTTTTCAAAACATTACTGCTCATTGACAGTGCACCTGGTCACCTAAGAGCTCTGATGGAGAGCTTCTGTAGAGCTTGAGATGTTCAGGAGTTGAACGTTATTTTCATGCCTGCTAACATAACATCCATTCTGTAGCCCATGGATCAAGGAGTGATTTCAACTTTCAAGTCCTACTATTTAAGAAATACGTTTCAAAAGGCTATAGCTGCCATAGATAATGATTCCTGTGATGGATCTGGGCAAAGTAAACTGAAAACCTCTGAAAAGGATCCAGCATTTTAGGTGTTATTAAGAATATCCGTGATTCATGGGAGGAAGTAAAAATATCCATATTAACAGGAGTTTGGAAGAAGTGGATGGTAACTGTCATGGGCGACTTTGAGGGGTTCAAGACTTCAGTGAGAGAAGTCACTGTAGATGGAGTAGAAATAACAAGAGAACTACAATTAGGAGTGGAGCCTGAAGATGTGACTGAATTGCTGCAATCTCATGATAAATTTTGAACAGATGAGGAATTGCTTCTTATGGATGAGCAAAGAAAGTGGTTTCTTGAAATGGAAACTACTGGTGAGGATTCTGCGAACCTTGTTGAAATGGCAACAAAGAATTTTGAATATTACATAAACTTAGTTGATAAAGCAGCAGCAGGGTTTGAGAGGATGGACTCCAGTATTGAAAGAAGTTCTATTGTGGACAGAACGCTATCAAACAGCATCACCTGCACCAGATAAAGCTTTCATGAAAGGGAGAGTCAATTGATGTGGCAAATTTCATTGTTGTCTTATTTTAAGGAATTGCCACAGCCACCACAGCCTTCAGCAGCCACCACCCTGATCAGCCAGCAGCCATCAGACATGGAGGCAAGACCTTCACCAGCAAGATTATGACTTGCTGAAGACTCAGATGATGGTTAGCATTTTTGGCCATACCTTAACCAAATTAAAGTATGTACGTTTTTGTAGACATAACGCTATTACACACTTTAAATAGACTACAGTATAGTGTAACCACAACTTTTATATGCACTGGGAAACAAAAAAATCCAAGTGACTCACTTTATTGTGGCTGTCTGGAACTGAACCCAGAGTGTCTCTGAGGTATGCCTGTACTGTACACAAACCTCTCTCCTGGCACCAGTTAAATACATGCATTTGCTGTTCTTCTCCAACCTATAGGCCTTGCTGTGTGTCTCTCCTATTCCTCCCCTGCTTCCTGGGATACTCTTTTACTTCTTCCATTATAATTCCTTCGCTACCTGTCTGTCCTTTAAGACATTGTTCATCTCATACACTTTTATGTTAATCATAATCCTTTTTATCATAATCTTAATAAAGGAAATAAACTTCAGAGTGATATGTGAAAATAAATTTGAGCATGATCCTATTTTCTGTTAAACAAAACAAATACATGTTTTGTTTAAAAGAAGCATCCTTCTGTTTCCTTTGTGTGCATGTATATTTGTATGAGCAAGGAAAAGGATAGAAAAATACAAACCAGACCGGTGCAATGGCTCACGCCTGTAATCCCTGCACTTTGAGAGGCTGAGGCAGGCGGATCACGAGGTCAGGAGATCAAGACCATCCTGGCTAACACGGTGAAACCCCGTCTCTACTAAAAATACAAAAAATCAGCTGGGCGTGGTGGCAGGCGCCTGTAGTCCCAGCTACTCGGGAGGCTGAGGCAGGAGAATGGTGTGAACCCAGGAGGCAGAGCTTGCAGTGAGGCAAGATCACGCTACTGCACTCCAGCCTGGGTGACAGATGCTGCGAGACTCCATCTCAAAAAAAAAAAAAAAAAAAATACAAACCAAGCTGTTGATACTGGTTACCTTGTGAAGGCAAGATGAAAATATGGATAGACTTAACTTTTTCTTTGTATATCTGTATAATTTTCTTAAATTTTTTGTAGAGACAGGGTCTCACTATGTTGCCTAGGCTGGTCTTGAACTCCTGGCCTCAAGTGATCCTCCTGCCTTAGTCTCCCAAAGTGCTGAAATTGCAGGCATGAGCCAACACATCTAGCCCTCTATAATGTTTGATATGAGAAAATAAAAATTTCCCTTGTCACCTCAAAGAGACATTTTCCAAGGTTAAACCTGGAGCTGGGTGCAGTGGCTGGCCCCTGTAATCCCAACACTTTGGGAGGCCAAGACAGGCTGATCACTTGAGGTGGGGAGTTCAAGACCAGCCTGACCAATATGGTAAAACCCCATCTCTACCAAATAATACAAAAATTAGCCAGGTGTGGTGGCATGCCCCTGTAGTCCCAGCTACTTGTGAAACTGAGGTGGGAGAATTGCTTGAACCCAGGAGGTCAAGGTTGCAGTGAGCCGAGATCAAACCACTGCCCTCCAGCCTGGGTGACAGAGTGAGACCCTATCTAAAAAAAAAAGAAAACCCGGAGACATGCTAGTTCTGCACTGTTGACTGGGTGCCATGGTTTATGCCTATAATCCCAAGTACTTGGGAGGCTGAGGAGGGGGGATCACTTGAGGCCAGGAGTTCAAGACCAGCCTAGGCAACATAGCAAGACTCCATCTCTGTCTTATTCTGTATGTGTGAGACTCCATCTCTTGAAAGAAAAGAAAAGAAAAAAAGAAAGAAAGCAAGCAGGGAGGGAGGGAAAAAGGAAAGAAAGAACTAGGTCTGTACTGTCTAATGCGGTAGCCTCTAGTCCTAGTCATATGTGGCTAGTGGCTATTAAAATTAAATAAAATGGAAATTTTTATTCTCTAGTCACATTGGCTATATATCAAGTTCTTGGTTAGCTACTGTATTGGACAGCACAGACATATAACATATTCATCACTACAGAAGATTGTGTTGGATAATGCTGTTCTAGATTATTCCTGCTTGTTCAGCCTTTTCTTCCTCTTCCTTTCAGCCAATCATGCACTACATTTTATCAATTCTACTTTTTAAAAATGTCTTAAATTCATTCTTGCTCTGCGTCTTCATTGTCTTTTGTTCATCAATATTTCTCACTTAGACTTTCACAATAGCCTTTGAGCCATTCACTTTGTCTCCGACCCATGGGTCTCAAGTCTACCCTGCCCTGTTACTGTTGCCATCTTCCTACAGTGCTAGTCATATTTCTCCTCTCCTTAAAACCTTTCACTGGTTAAGATAACACTAGGCATCCTAGCATGACATTTAATGGTCCTTACCTACTTTTCTAACCTTATCAGTCACTGCTTCCCACCTTCCTTGAAGTTTGTACTTTTGCAGACTGAATCACTCAGAATTTCCCTAAACACCTCACACCTCTGTGCCTTCTCACATTCTGTTTCCTCTGCATGATGAAAAACATCTATATGTTCTTCAAAACCAAGCTTAGCCCACAGTCTGATATTAGGAAGCCCTCCCCACACCCATCTAACTAGATAGAGATAATTTCTTCTTTTATGTCAACATTGTTCCTTATATGAACATCTAGGTTAGCCCTTAGCACACTGAGTTGAAATGATCTGTTACATGTCTCTCCCCAGCTGGATAATTGGGCTTCTTGAAGGGAGAGTCTGGGTCTGATTTATCTCACCATCCACGGAGCTGGCAGCAGGCCTGGCATGTCATAAAGGACAGTCACTGTTTTATTTATTTATTTTATTTTATTTTTTGAGACAGGGTCTCCTTCTGTCTTCCAGGCTGGGATGCAGTGGCACAATCATGGCTCACTGCAGCCACAAGCTCTCTGGGCTTAGGTGATCCTCCTACCTCACCCTCCTGAGTAGCTGGGACTGTAGATGCATGCCATCACACTTGCCTAATTTTTGTTTGTTTGTTTGTTTTTTGTTTTTGTAGAGACACCTGGGCTCAAGTGATCTTTCCACCTCAGCCTCCCAAAGTGCTGGGATTACAGACGTGAGCCATCGCACCCATACCGTCACTATTTTCTAGTTCAGTCTTACCTTTTTCCCGAATTCTCACAGGACTTCTTTATGCTACTTATATGTCATTTGTCGTAGGCCACCTTATTCAGTAGGATGCTTTTGGCATAACTATGGTTTGTTTCCTTCTTCTCTCCCTCCCTGCAGGATTCTGCATATCCTGAGGGCAGAGACTACTCTTATTTTTTTATCCCATGACATCCACATGGAGTAATGTTCACCACAAGCACTCAGCAACTGTCTTTGCAGCTTTTGAGGCCAAGAGGGAGGCTGACTGCTGTTTTATTTTCTTCTTGGCTTTACCTTCTGAAAAATCTAGTAATTTCCTAAACTTTCTGATTTCTCAGACCTACATAGAAGAAATAAAGTAGATGTTTAGGCCGGACACAGTGGCTCTTGCCTGTCATCCCTGCACTTTGGGAGGCCAAGGCGGGTGGATCACCTGAGCTCAGGAGTTTAAGGCCAGCCTGGACAACATGGCAAAACCCCGTCTCTACTAAAAGTACAAAAAATTAGCCGGGCGTGGTGGTGCATGCCTGTAATCCTAACTATTCAGGAGGCTAAGGCAGGAGACTCACTTGAACCTGGGAAGCAGAGGTGGCAGTGAGCCAAGATCATGCCACAGCACTCCAGCCTGGGCAACAGAGTGAGATTCTATCTCAAAAAAATAAAGTAGATGTTTATGTTCATGTGTTTCTTTCCACAGGCTTTGGATGAAGAGTATTTAAAAGTAGATGCCCAATTTGGAGGCGTTGATCAGAGAAAGATTTTCACCTTTGCAGAGAAGGTGAGTGTCCGCTTTCCTGTCTTTTTTCACTTGCGCCTCAGCGGTATGCAACTATGTTTATTGAACTATGATGGTCAGTCCCACTAGTCATAGTGTATGGCAAATATTCTCCTTGTTTTGCAGTTGAGAAAACTGAGGATAGAAGAATAAGAAGTTGTCCAATATCACACAGTTAGTAACTGAGCAGGAATTATTAGTACCCAAATCTTTGAAACTCCAAAGCCCATGTGCCTGGTGACAACCAGGAAGCTGCTCCTGCACCTGTTGGATTTACTCCTTTCCTAATAGACCAGTTTCCAAGGAGAGGCATTACCAGATGGAACTACTGTCCTTTCACAGAGCATTTGGTTCGCATTTCCCAGCATCTTTTTCTTTGTTTTGTCTTTTTTTTGAGACAAGTTCTCAATCTCTTGCCCAGGCCAGACTGCAGTGGTGTGGGCCTGGGCTCAAGCAGTTCTCCCACCTCAGCCTCCCAAGTAGCTGGGACCACAGGTGCATGCCACAACACTCAGCTAGTTTTAAAATTGCTTGCAGAGATGAGGCCTCCCTGTATTGCCCAGGCAGGTCTCAAACCCCTGGGTTCAAGCAGTCTTCCTGCCTTGGCCTCGCAAAGTGCTGGGATTATAGGTGAGATCCACTGTGCCTGGCTTAGTTTTTTGATATATTTAGTGAATGCAGAAATGCTTTCTCCCTCTCTCTCTCTCTCTCTCTCTCTCTCTCTCTCTCTCTCTTTCTATATATATATATATTTTTTCAGACAGAGTCTTGCTCTCTCGCCCAGGCTGGAGTGCAGTGGCACGATCTCGGCTCACTGCAATCTCCCTCTCCCAGGTTCAAGCGATTCTCCTGCCTCAGCCTCCTGAGTAGTTGGGATTACAGGCGCCTGCCACCATGCCTAGGTAATTTTTATATTTTTAAGTAGAGATGGGGTTTCACCGTGTTGGCCAGGCTGGTTTCGAACTTCTGACCTCAGGTGATCCACCCATCTCAGCCTCCCAAAGCACTGGGATTATAGGTGTGATCCGCTGCACCCAGCCACAATATAAATTTTTTGAGGACCAGGTGCTGTGGCTCATGCCTGTAATCCCAGCACATTGGGAGGCTGAGGCAGGAGGATCATTTGAGCCTGGGAGTTTGAGACAAGGCTGGGCCACATAGCAAGACCCTGTCGCCACAATAAAATAAAAAATTAGCCAGGCACGCCCCTGTAGTCACAGGTACTCAGGAAGCCAAGGCAAAATGATTGCTTGAGCCCAGGAGTTTAAGGCTGCAGTGAGCCATGATCATACCATCACACTCAAACTGGTGCAAAGAGCCTTTGTCCTCTGAAAAAAAAAAAAAAAGAATAAAATAAATACATTTTTTGATTAATTGTTTTTATTTATTTTTTTTTATTTTTTATTTTTTGAGACAGAGTCTCGCACTGTTCCCTGGCTGAGTGCAGTGGCGCAGTCTCGGCTCACTGCAACCTCTGCCTCCCAGGTTCAAGCAACTCTTGCTAAGCCTCCCAAGTAGCTGGGATTACAGGCGCCCCCCACCACCCGGCTAATTTTTTTTGTATTTTAGTAGACACGGGGTTTCACTATGTTGGCCAGCTGATCTCGAACTCCTGACCTCTGTGATCCACCTGCCCTCAGCCCTCTCAAAGTACTGAGATTACACATGAGCCACTGGGCCTGGCTTGTTATTTCATTTTATCTGCACAATTAACTTTTTTATTGGACCTCTTTTATTATTACAGCAGGGATTTCCATACCTTGTTTTGCTATGGACTTTATGAGCTAAGAATGGTTTTTACATGTTTAAGGATTGTGGAAAAAGATGAGAATGATCGCAAGAGGCATATGGGACCAGAAAAAGTAAAGTCTTTTTTTTTCCCCTTTTTTC